TAACGTCCTGACAGCCCCGCTGTTTCATGCAATATCTCCGAGATCACCTCAGAATGCATTATGAAACCGAGTAAGTTTCAGATCGTGTGCATCTGTGGCAGACTTCTTTAACTCAGCAACGCCTAGCTAGAGACATGGAAGCTCAGGTCGGGCTTCTAAAAGCTCAAACTTCGTTTCAACTCTAGTAGGAGCCAATGGAATTCGCATGTTCGTTCCGTTGCACGTCGCACAGAAGCTTTTGACTCAACAAGCGTTGAGACTTCCTGGGGCCGGGCCGGAGGTCGAGACGGTTTTCGTGTCCCGCTAAATCCTGCTAATCTTGTTGAGTCAATCTGCGACTTCCTTGCCCGCGCAAGATGTGATGGATTGATTCGGAGGCAATTTTTGAGTCGGGCATGTACACTCTTTGTCCTTAGAAACCTCGAGAAAGGCGGAATCAAAAGCTACGTTTCAAGCAACGTACACGTCTGCAGCCTGTTGCTACTTGACAGTACTCAAGTAATCTCGGGACTCGCTTAATTGGAGTAGCGGATGATGCAGTGCGTGCCGGGCCGGTCGAGTATTCAATCGACCTCATGCATGCAGGAAAAGTTTGAAAGCCGGGCCAGTCCTAATTGTCGCTTAGTGGAATTAGTATGATGCACTGATGTTCAGTGACTGGGGCTATGACAGCTAGGCGGTCCCCGTCCCGCGTCGTGACATCATGATGCACACAGACGATGCGTGAGGCTGGCGGCCGTGATAGACTGTCGCGGTGCATCTACATAGATGCGTTGAATATGTAAAGCTCCTAATGATTACGTACAACTTTATGCGTGCGAGCGGCCGCGCGGATCTGCCTGGCATGCAAAATCTGACGGCTCTCACATATGATCATTCATGCAATCCTGCGCGGCCAGATTCATGAATCACGATACAGTAAAGTGATCGACGCAAAGTACCGTGACGAAAGGTACTTTTCATGAAGCCGATCAAAGCCCATTAACTTAAGTTATCCAGGACTCACAGCTCTGATCAGTCTTGGTGGCCGCGAGCGCCTATCATCGTAGGCTGGTGACCCACGATCGACCAAATTTTTCGTCTTCAATGGGCCGGATCAGTTTGGCGCAAACTCTTAATCAAGACTAGGGGTGGTCATTTTGATAACTGATGAATTTAGTCAGTACTGTTTGAGCTTATTTTTGTGAACTTGAATCCAACGGTCTGAACAGGAATGGTTCCAGACTGGACCCTTCTATAAGCCAACGCCGTTGGTGTTTGACAACATTCCATGGCCCCGCCCCGTCGCTTTCCCGTATGCCGCGGGCCCCCCGGAAGCTCGTGCCGTCCACCTGCAGTCAAAACGCACTGCAAAACATCAGCGAAGCTTGCCAGGTAAGCGAGACTGGCTTCAAAGCTGATCCAGACTTACTTTCGGACGTGTCGGACAGGTTTGACTTCTGTACGCGAGCTGCAGACGTGACGGAATTCGGACATGGCTGAAGGGGTTCAAACTTGGTCCACGTGAAAACCAGACAAAAGGCTGTTTCTCGATCGGTGTTGTCTAGAACGAGATTTCTCATCTGACGGTGTGGGACTTGGAGTTTGCGAACTTCACTTGGTCGTTGGTCTCTCTGGGTTGAGATTGGCTAATATTGACAATTTGGTCTGATCCAGAATTCAGCTCCTCTACCCAACTCGAATCAAGCTGCCACCATTCCTGTGTGTCGACTATGTTGTACTGGCTTGCAATTGGACAATCTCCCTGCTCAGATTCAACTATCTGAGACACTGTGTCTCTTCCAAGGTACAGTGAAGCAATTGCAAAGAGCTTGCAGGAGAAGGCCTGAAGCCTGATAAACATGCTCATTCTGTAAATTGCTAGGGGGAGGAGTTCTCACCTTGAAACACTTGCGAAAAAGGTGGCACGTACCCTTTGATAACCTCAGATGCCTTCTATAATACCATACTTCTTCAAATCTTGAAAGCCTGCTGTAGGAGTGGTTCTTCTTGCAACTAGATGAGGATACTTTGCTGACTCCTTGAGAACAAAGTGAGGTGCCGTGAGGTTTACTCCCAGAATCCGGAAATCTGTGATCTCAGGTTCGCTCTCCCTAGCAACGATGTCCTTGCCATTCCTGACGGCATCAAATATCCGGGTTGCATTGGTAAAGAATGGCCCGGAGTACTCGTCGTGGGCAAATGTTTCCAGTTTTTCAATGATGCTGGAAATGTTGGCAAAGTGTTACGAGCAGTGCCACCCCGCATTGTGGATTGTGTTTTCCGCGGCGCTTTCCCTGAGCCATTGGGCTCTCTCAGCCGTGTCCTCAAAGTCCTTATAGACATCAATCCGGGGACCAACCCAGCTCTGATTGACCTGGAATTCGTAGGAGTAATAAAACAGATGCAGGTTGAACACCGCAGGCAATTGAAAGCTCTGTGGGTTGAGCTTCACTTGCGTGACGGCAATTGCGCTGGGGATCTCATCCACATCTGATATCATGAAAATGTCCCCAGCACGGACACGTCTAGCACCGGGCTCATGGAGCCCAAGCCTAAGAACTGCGTTCCTAAAATACGTCTCCCTAAGCCAGGTATCTGTCTCATTTGTGTTGGGAATTACTATGTGGATGATTCTATCTACCCACCTCTCAAAGAGTTGCATATTCTGCTGTAAGTACAAAGGCTTGGGCTTGGGTTGAAAGGAATGATCAGCCTCCGTCACGACAAAGTAGTCAACCACGCCCTCTAACTCCATCAACCGGATCTTGAGAACCTCCAGCTCATTTGAAAACAGGAAACAGTCGTACAGTCTAGCCTTGCCCCAGCTATTGGGGTCTTCTGCAGAGTACCTTAGAGAAGTATCATGACCTTCCTGCCGCGTTATGATAGTATGTGCCACAATGTAAGCGCTTTTTGGATTCAAGGTGCCATTGCGGGGCCCTTTCCAAAAGCAATTGCATCCTGCCTTGGCAGAAAGGTACCCGTTAGTCTGCAGATGTTGCTGGCTGAGATACGCCGCAGTGCAGAGAAGGCTGACGCCTAATAGATAGGGAAGTGATGCCACCATAGCCCTGCTGTCCAGACGATGCATGATGCTTGGGAAACCCATCCATTCCCCATCCTTTCTCATGAATCAGCGATCTAGAGACCTCATTCGAATTCAAGGGTCGCTCGAGCCCAACAGACGCTGAAGCTGGGCACCGCTCATCTGACGGTGCAGCAGATACCGTGACCGTAGTGAAACGGGCGCGCCATCTTGCGGTCAAAATGTACTGTCACCGCGGCCGTCAACAGGGTATGGAAAGAATGGGTCGCGACTCGCACCGTCGATCGAGCTCGGCGGTTGCTAACCTCCAGTTACCACACTTAGTAGCTGACGCAAGCGTGCGAGGGTTTCCCGTAGCCGGGAGTCCGGGACCTCGGGCCAGCCCCGGCCGTTCAAGTGCTGGTTGGCCGGCAGAAAAGGCAGGCCGCAAGGCACATGGTGGGCTCAGCCGGGCGGCAAAGCCAAATACCGACGACCAAGCCGACAGAAGCGGGGGGGTGCCGGCAGCCGGCCTGCCAGTACAAAAGTCCGTGCCGAGCACGCAAAGTGCGCCACGTGGCAATCACCGATGCAAAGTTCGTCGTCACTCGGATTGGAAACCGGCACGGCGCTGGAGTCGAGCCGCCAAAATGCACTGCTCAGTGCTGAGTCCTGAGGTAGTCCGTCGAACCGGTTGGTCGGCGCCCCGCTAATACTACTAATCCGGGGTCCGCGGCGCGCGCCAGCCGGCCGTGCAGGGCCGTACGGAAGATCCCAACCGTCAAGTAAATACAGCCGCAGGCGGGCCGGCGTGCCGGCCGGCCGCACTCGGACACTCGGGGTTCACTTCGCGGCCATCATTAAGAAATCTGAGTCGCCCCATCGCTGGGCCTTTTGCCCTGCCTCCCGTCCGAGTGGACGAAATGTCGCACCCCCAATCCGACGGCGCTCAGTATCGCTGGCTAGAGTCTACAGTGTAGTTCCGACCTTCAGATCACACAGCATTCTGCTCATTGACACTGGAATGTCTCTGATTTTGCGAGGGACCGCAGGTCGGAACCGGTACTGTGTGGATCCCTCTTTGGATTGGCCTGGTACCAACCGCTACAACGAAACCGACCTGTCCAGGTCGCTGAAAACAGCCATTCGGCGACATGATTTATTCAAATGCGTACTAAATTTGAGTGTATACATGTAGTTTGATAGTTGTCAGTTATTTGATTTTAAACAGCTATCGCGGCGGGCTGAATTATTCAACCGGGCATCATCGAACATGTCAAGTTTCAAACGTCGACCGAACCGTACGAACGGTCCGTCGCACGAGTCAAAACTTAAATTTGCGACGTGTCGCGCGATGGACTCGTTAAATCCCTGGCTGATTTAAAAATGGGGACACGTGGTACAAAATTTGTCAGACAGGTTACGGTGGATGTCAGATATTGAGTACTCAAAGTAAATGTAATGGAGACCGGTCGGTATGACCCGGGCTTGTTTCAGCCCTTATAATGTAGACTATAACCTGGCATACTGGTCCTGAAACGCTTCCGGGACAAGGGCCGCCGAAAATGCATGAGCTGCGGCTCCGGGAAAGTATCGTACCGGGTGTGTCGCTAGCCTGCTCTGAACCTTGCAGTTACCCCGGGGTATAAATCTACCGGGGATACCTAGCTGTACAGCCTCGGTGTACACGGCGACACCACCAGTGCGAAAACCGCCGCGCGATGGACCGACCAGTGTCATAATCCACCACACTGCACACTGAAATTGTGAACCTAGTATGAAACAGACTAGTCCGACAGATTAGTGTAGAGCGAACCAATCAGATCGCAGTATTCGAGGATGTCGCACCCTTGGACGCTCGGCGGCGGGAGGCAGGGCAAAAGGCCCTAGATCCCCACTCAGATTTCTTATGGGCCGTTTGACCAGTCTGAGTGGCCACGTTGACCACGTCAGGTACGTACGTCGTCCGACAGCCTCGCGACACTAGAGCACCCTAGTAGCAAAGCCTGAGCGAGCGGCCCGGACCGACCTGCACGTTAACCCCGCCGACCACACGGCGGAGGACGCCGTCTTCACCGACGTCGACCAGGCCGGAAACGTCATCGTCGGCTTCAGCACTGACCCTGCTGTGGCGCTCCTCTTGACGCGGCTGCACTTCCGCCTGTATCCTGAGGGCGTCGACGTGCCTGCTTCCTCGTTTGGCGTCACACCACGTCTGCGCGCGGCACTTAACTCCCTGCCCCGCCCGGCCCAGGGCCAATTCACCTTCGATGCGGGCACCTTCACGGCTGCTACCTTTCCGGCTGTGGACGTGGTCGTCCGACGCACAGTACCACGCTCTGACCGGTGCTGTCGCTGGCCAGCCTGCAGCAGATCCCCCCGCACTGCGCATTGTGGAT